GAATGCAATCAAATTGCTGTAAACCAACACATGAAATGTATATAATTCACTGTTAAATTAAGGCTGGTATTTATGGAATAACATTTTATCTGCCCGAAAACAAATATTCCAATCCACTTTTTGCGCAGTTGTCAAAAAATTAAAGCTTAGTATACATTTTATCTTTCTAAATCGGATTCGATGTAAAAAGGCCACACTTATTTGTACCTCCCTTTTCATAATAAGTGGTATGCGTTCTGGATGTTTACATAAATAACCTTACAGGAAATAAATAAGTAAACAATTATAACCTTATCTAATAACTAGTGACCTCTATTTATAATCAGCTAAAAATATAACTATTACCAATATTTTTCCTTAGACGCTGTCTGATAAATTTCTAGAAATGAATCCCTTAGATTTTACGAGTGTCCTGGAATAAACTGAGCCCTGATATTCATTGAGTCATCATAAAGATTATTTAAAATGAACTTATTGTTTACCAAAACAAAACAGAATTTTCCTGAAAATTTCTGTAAGCATCAATTTCTTTTTTGTTTCCTTAACCTTTTTTCCCTTGAGTGATACTGATATGATGGGTGGAATCATACAAGCCCGAAAATTTCAGGTGAAGTGACTGATAAACTAAATTATTCTTTTTTATTATCATTTATTATTATATCCTTTAATTCCTAGAGGAACATAGGGCTTCAGCTGCGCGTCTCCATTGCCTTCTGTTTTCTGCCAACTTTTTCACCCCGCTCCAAGTCTGCCCATATGCTCTCATCTCCTATTCTCATGACCTCCTCCAAGTCACCGTCGCACAGACGACCAACTCGCCGCTTCCCATTCGGGTTCCACTCGAGCAATGGCTTGTCTAGTGATGTCGCTTGATGGTTTCCTCAGCGTATGGCCAATCCATCTCCATTTCCTCCTGCCTATTTGTTTCACAATCGGTTCCTGCTGGGTTGGTTCGCTCATTGCCAGAGATCCCTCACTATTGCTGATCTCTTCTGGCCATCTGATCTTGAGTATTGAGCAAAGGCAACTGTTGATGAAGGTTTGAAGTTTGTTTGAGATGCTCTTTATGACGCGCAGTGCAATTCTCTGATCCGTATAGTGAGTAGCACTGACTTCACATTGGAGTTGAAAATCCGGATCTTATTATCATTTTCATGCTGAGTGCTGTTGACTTCCACACAGACTTGAGAGTAATGAAAGCTTGTCTTGCTTTTCCGATCCTTTCTTTGATATCCTCGTCAGTTCCGCTCACCTGTAGTTGAAACGATGAAGGTGAAGGAGGTTGTTTCTTTCAGGTTCCTTCCATTTATGCTGGCTGATTGTTGTCTGTTGTTGTTGCTGTGGTTGTTGGTGTTGGTCAGGAATCTTCATCATCTCTGTTTTATCTATGTTCACCTGAAGTCCTATCTTTGATGCTTCTTCTGTATTTTGTTAGTGAATCGCTTACAACGCCTTAAGAAAACTAGAATTTAGGTACTGTAGTAGAATATAATCCATAATAGAGTAGTTTTAAGAAGTAGAAAAGTTTGAGAGAACAGTTCTTTTCAGTAACTTCTACTTCGAGCTCCACAGTTATAAATACATGAAAGTTTGAATACGATGCCCGGCAAGAGCAATTCAAAATTTTGACAGAAACTGTATTCAGGGGTGTGAGTATGAGATGGAATAATAGTCTGTTGGTCGCCATTAAGAAAATGAAATAAAATGTGAATAGACAGTTAAGTGGCTTGCTTATGTAGTCATAAACGACAAATATGATTTTTCAGGGGATGAGTTACATTCTATAGTGTAAGAGAAAAATAAATACTACAAAAATATAAAAGAAAAAGGTGGGTATATTGAATGTATGTTCGAGGGATAGCAAACAACAAATATCATGATAGAATTCAGTAGTTAGTTATATAGTGAAATGTTATCAGATAGTAGAGACAAGATAAGCTCAGTGTAAATCTAAACAGTGAAATTAATAATAATGATATAATGAAAATTAGGTGATGATTACGTTTTGCAATTAACAGTGTTCTCTGAGCTGGTTGGTTTAGTTGCGGAGCTTTTGTCGTTTTTCTGGACGACATCTTCAGCGCAGTATTTAGGATAAAGTGAAATGGTTTACATTTCTTCATGAGTGACATAATTGCGTCTCCCGGTAACCATCTTTAGATATGTATTGCCCGTTTTCTATTGATTTGGATTTGAAACTTTCTGGTCACCTGATTTACTTTTTATTAGTTGGAATATTTCGTCTATATTAACATGTTTATTAATTGCATTTTCGTTTGAGTACCAGGCTTCTAGGAATTCCCTGGCACTTTTGGTGTTTCATCTGTCTAAGATTTTGACATTATCCCAATCAAATTGATGTCCATAATTGTCTGTATGCATTGATACTAAAGAATTTATATCATGTCTTTTCCCGGCTGATTTGTGTTCTTGGATTCTTATTCGAAGGGGACACCCACTTTGGTCGATGTAATGCTTGTTACGGTTCATACAATTTATTTTGTAAATGGTGTTAATTTTATCCCCTTTTTCTTTTGGGTCTTTTGGTTTGCATAAGATCGAATTAAGCGATTCGGCTGGTTTGTGTGCTACATCTATATCAAACGGTTTCATTATTCTAGCCGTTGTTACCTAATTCTTCTTCTCTTGTGAATTTGATATCTTCAAATATGTTTTTTATTAATTTATGGGTATATTCTAAATCATTTCGCTTAATTATTACAAATGTATCGTCAACGTAACGTACCCAGATTTTCGGTTTAATTATAGGTAGAGCTAATAATTCTAATCTTTGCATGACGGCTTCAGCTATTAATCCTGATATGGGCGATCCCATTGGTGTCCCTTTTATTTGTTCATATATTTGAGTATTGAATTGGAAGTATGTTGTAAGGCATAATTTTAAGAGTTCTATCCAAGTTGAACATGATTACGTTTCTAATGATCTTATAGTACGCCAAGGTAAGCAACGAAGATGAAGTACTCTTTTACACCTATAGGTTAGGTTTACTCTCGCTGATCCCTATAGCTTCAGCTTTGGCTTGAAAAGGTAATCTCATAAATTTTTTGGCGCTCAATATATAAATATAAATGACTCATCTATTTCAATACGGTGTTCACTATGAAGATGATACTACTTATTAATTTTGTTATTCTTTCTTCAAGCCGCACTAGTACATTACTAATTAGTGCACAAAGATAAATTCCTGTGGATATGGCCTATAAAACTAGCTGTATAGGGGAGGCTGAATACATGTACACACTGATGTGCCCATCATTCATAACTTATCTTCAATACACTGTTCCAGTACAGGTCTAGTTGAGAAACTAATATGTAATAATACTGCGATATTTGATAAAATCGCTTAGATCTACTTCATGGAAGACACATGAATAGTAATAAAGGTAATGGTTGTTGTACTTGAGTGGATTGCTGTGACAATATACAATTAAATTAACTATTGAAACCACTTCCAGAGTCTAAACAGTTAAATTTCACAACAGATTAACTACTATTTTGTCTTTTCCTATCGGAATTGTCAGTGAACTAAATTTCTGCTTCAATACATTTCTAAACTCATAAGATTAGGAAGGGAAAAATGTGGCTATAAAATATCAGTTAAAGCTCCTGTCTCTACTGATGCATTTTACTGAAAGTGAATTACTGTGAAAGGAATACTTTTTACGGAAGGCTTACAGCACAATTGAACTTGAATCTAATCCAATTAAAGTACCACTTTGTTGATAAACATCTGGTTCCAATAACAGTTTTGTTTAGCCTACTTACTCTCTAATACATCATATTGATTTGGCGGTATGCATAAAACCCCCACAAAATATTTGAACGATAGGTCACAGATACGGTATGCAGAATATTTCAGAGCATAATACTTATAATTTATGTATTGTTTTTTATAATGGTGAAATTTCTGATGAATATTAGTTGAGAAAAATAGGCTGAATATAATTAAAATTTTGTTTTGATACATTTAAAGGTTTTGTAAAATGAATTTAAACATTATTAGTTGTAGTGTATACTACAGAAATTGTTACAAAATCTGGTTAATTTTGCTTTTCTTAATTAACGTGTACTACAATTTTTTGTTGAAAATCCACCTGTTCATCATCGGAAGTAAACCTGATTGTTCTATTTTTCACTTCTGACTAGACAAGTGATAGCATAATTTGTATTATTAGATAATTTATTTGACTTCATGCGTTCATACATAAAAACAGCACTCAATAACAATTAAATTGTACCTTGCGTAGGAGCTGGTTCGATATAATGGTGAGTCTGAAAATTTTTGGCTAAGGTCAGAACTATTTTTAAATTAGTCTTGTTCAGAAACTATTTTACAATTGATTGCTTCCAGTAAAAGAGAGATTGTAGATAAATACGGGTGTGGTAAAAATTAAAATATGATAAAATAAGATTATACTACTTAACAATTAAGATGTAGTATGAGTTAAACTTGCAATCTTAGCTTGAAGTGTCTGGCATAACTATACTGTGTGCATAGGATTTTAGTACTCGGATGAATGTCTAAGCAGCACCCTTCTATATTATAACGTTTACGAGGCCGATATAAAATTATTAAGAAAAAGTAAGTTTGGGAATGTGAGAATTATTTCACTAGGTCTAATGAAAGTTAAGGTTTGAATGTGGCGTTTCTTTTGATACTATAAGACAAAAATGGGGACTGTAGTCTAGGTATTGCAGCAAACTAAAGGGTTGATTAAGCGCATTCATCAATAATGAGTACTGAAGACTACATCCGTGTTTCAACGATTGTAGGGAAGGTGAAATAGTCAAATTTTTTCAGTTAAATATTAGTGGCTACAGGCTCACAAACGATGCGCCGACCTTGTACCGTGTGATTGTGTACCTGATATTGAGCAAATGAAACGAGTCTTTGGTGTTGATTTGACTAATTTAGCAAGAGCTGAAAATAAGGCTGTGCCAACACTTCTCATTAAATGTATTCAAGAAATAGAACGTCATGGTGGATTATCGTATCCCTGGAAATTATGATATAGTCGAATTTGATAAAGATCCAGAATTAGCCAGTATATCTGAAGCTCGTGTACGTGATATCAATGCTTTGAGAAGTTTGATTAAATCATTTCTACGTCAATTGCCTGTCCCATTAATCACCTATGAAGCTTATCCAGATTTACTTGACGTTGTTCGTAACGACCGATTGGTGGAACAAGAAAAGCTTCATCTATTGAAGAAAGTATTTTCTCGATTACAAGGTGCTCATTTCGAAAGTTAACGTTACTTTGTCAATCATATACACAGGGTAGCTGAAAAGCAAGAAATCAATATGATGACTACTGCTAACTTAGCTATTGTTTTATCTTCAACATCATTAAGTTCATCGTACACAGATCCTATAAGTTGTTTAGCTGGTACACTATTTGAACATGCATTAATTGAATTATTAATAAAACATTGTGCTTATCTACTACTACCAAGTGGTTGATGGTATACAACACCAAGACCAAATGAATTAATCGGTGGTGTTAGGCATTCACCATCACCTCGTCATAGTCAAATTGTCACCACTACTAGTTCGATGACCAATATGACACCAACACCAACAACAACAGCAACAGCAACATCAGTTCCAATATCACCGCCTAGTATATCAACTTCATATAAAAAATGGAGTTTTTACGAAGTCGTTCATCAACAGATACTCGTCCAATACCATTTTTATCACTGATACCACCCTAAAAAATGAATGAATGATTTAAGTGAATAAATCAATTTCAATGACACAATATCACATCTTCAACTATCTATTCTTATTGTCATTATTATTATTCTTTCTGTTTATACCAAGGTTTCTTTTCTAACACATTCCATAATAGTCTTGGATGCTTTTATAAACTTTTTCTTTTACCTTAATTTCATACAGATACACGTCGGTGGCAAAGCGGTTAGGACGCTCACCAACAATGCACATGGTCCGGGGTTCGATCCCCGGCCACTGACACACTCCTCCCTTACCTCGCTAAGCCAGAAATAAAGCTGGTGAAGAGGAAAGGTTGGGCATGAGGCTAGCAACCTCATCCTGTAAAAATAATCACCACTGCTACAGAAACTTCAAGCCACTAGCTTGAAGCCCTATGTTCCACTGGGGAACGCGTGAAGGAAAGAAAAAATTCATTTGATATATATTGAACACAATGAACTACAGAGGCCAGAAAATCAACGTGATTTTTGGCAATAAAGAGTTACAGTTCTCAGTGCTGAATGAAATATTGTCGCACAAAGAATACATATTCATTGTAAAAGAAAAACAATTAATTGGTTGAAATATGTGGGTCTATTGTTTTCATGCTATCGATTTTTTTCGTATTGTATTATGATTCATCACCTTATAAAATATTATTGATTCTTTCTACTGATAAAATTGTGTTTGAAATTATATGTCATAGCACTAAAACAATTAGTCTTCAATATCTTTCAAATTGCTGAATGATAATCTTTTTTCCTTCTAATATTGAAATTTTGGGTGCAGCTTCTTGTTGGCTTGGTAGTGTGCGGTGATGGAGAAATCCATCCTGGGGTGAAAAAAATGTCAAGTGCTCTACTTGTGAGAATAACTTTTCTTTTCTTTTTCAATGTAAACTGGTAAAATATGACTCGCTTTTCAGTTCATAAGATGATTTAAAAAACCAGCGGCTCGTAGCATTTACTGACTAACGCATCATTTAAAAACATGTTGCTGATTTGTTACAATTATATCGGTAATAAATCCTGGACTAACTTGATCCTCTGTCAGTCTAACAGTTTTGGTCAATGGATGATAACTGACAAAGTCCACAGTGTTATGACATTGATATTAATTTAAATTAAAATTAATATCATTTTTCATTCCCTGAATTCGGGATGGCGTAAAGGACTTTAAGCTTTGCAGTCACAGTAGCACTGGCGTTGCTATTCTTCACTCCCAACCTTTCCTCTTCTCCTGGATTACTACCAGGTACTAATTTGGGTTTAAGTTTAGGAGTGAGTCGGCTGGAAATCCAACCCCGAACTCCACGATGGTTGACGAGTATGCTGCCACTGAATCATCAACGCATATTGCAATTAATTATAATGTTTGTACAAATAACTGCATTATCTTCATAATAACAAATCACAAAAACTGCACAAATTAAAAATACGAATAGTGCCAACTACAATTTTAATCCTGAATAGAAAGAAGTAAAGGATGGAATCATCCATGACGTTGTAAGTATAAAATTAGTACATCAGTCTGGTGTTCATTCATCCCATGAACCTCAAATTACTTTACAGAATTGGTTTGGTGAAACATCAATGCTAGAATACAATAAAATATGTCCAAAGGGGGAATCATTCCATTTTTGAATGTATTAGATGGTTGGAGGCAATTGGAAGGAAGACCTAGGTTTCGTGCCAGTCGGCACTCACCGGTCACCAAGGCGTATCTGCAACCTTGAAGGAACTCATGTTCATTCTGCGATTCGAACCCGCACCACCTAGTGCTACAATCAGGAACGTCACCACGGAGCTATTCGGGCTCGCGATTGACCTCCTGTAGAACTGTAGTGGATATTTTGATTGGACACTGGTAACTAGTGTGATGTGGTAACGTCAGTGGTAACGTCTCTGACTGCAGCACTGGGTGATTCGGGTTCGAATCTCAGAAGGGACATGAGTTCCTCCAAGGTTGCAGATACGCCTAGCTGTCGAGTGCCAGCTAGCACGAAACCTAGGTTGGGGGCTTCCTTACGATTGCCTCCAACCACCTAATATCATCAAATCAATATGCATCGTGATGGCAAGCTACCTGGAATGGTGGCCACATTACAAACCTAACTGATAGAATTCACTTTGCATCAAAGAAGCGACTAGACACATCACACTAGTTACTAGTGTCCAATCAAAATTTTTAAATGTCTTAGTCATCTGAACAAGTACAGGAGATATAAGAACACAATTATGCACAAGTTCAATCTATACAGACCAAACACTCTATTAAAAACACAACAATCCAAAACACTCAAATCATTGCAGATCTAACACACACTGGATTTATTCATATAAATTCACTAAAATGACTGCAGATATTGATTTAAATGGAATAGTTTAAATATCTTAGATATGGGGAACGTAAATAATGACAGAGAATTCCTAGAAACCTGATACTCAGATCGACTTGCATTTAATAGATATGTTCATATAGGTTACATTTATCATTTATTACAACATAGGTCACGCGACAGAAAGGTCAAATGTCAGGTCAAGTGGATTAACAGAAGTGCAGGTGGACACAGTCATTAAGAAATTTAAATGAACTGCCAATCAATGTAGGGTTCTTTTGGAAAGATGAAGATTTCATTCATGCAGAATTACAATAACCTACTTTACACTGAAGTTAGTACTAAGGACGATGTCTAGAAAGGCAAAAAAAGAATCTCACTTAAAGGATTCAGCTCAGATAACGAAATTCATGCTTGTCTTAATAGATACGTTCATCATTCGGACAGCAAGCAGAGGCACTGATACTTCCTTACTACCGTAGGCTCTCGACTTTTTCAGGCACCGAAACAAAAGATAACTTCTTTCGAATTTTTTATAGATCACAGTAACTTCAATAAACAAATAATTCTTTCTTCCTTTACAAATCATAGGAATATTGTCTATCAAATCCTTCTGTTAAACAGATAAGAAATCATGTTTGCAAATCATGAATATTATTCGTTTCCTGGACTTTGAAGCACTTCTTTAACTCACTTTGTTTTGTTTTGTCTTTTTCAACTGATTCTACGATCGCCAACATGATCTTCTCCATGTTCCCCTCGCGCTGATGCTGAAACCGTCGCCTCCCGTTCTCACTTCACTCTGTGGCCAACCTGGAGTACAATGTCACTCAGTATTCTTCTCAGAGTGTGTCCAGCACACTTTCATCCCCTTCAGCATATCTGTTGGGTAAGAGCTCCTTGGCTGCTTTGCTTCACTGCAAGTGTTTCTTTAAACTTACCCTTTTTGTCAATCTATCTGATCCACAGTAAAGAGCCAATGAAGTGATGATTAATTTCAGTTTTCTATACTGGACACTCATCTTGTAACTTCAAGTCCAAGCCAAGATAGCCTGTTGAAGCTTTAAGCAATATCAATTATCTATTTTTTTATTCCTTCACGTTCCCCAGTGGAACATAGGGCTTCAAGCTAGTGGCTTGAAGTTTCTGTAGCAGTGGTGATTATTTTTACAGGATGAGGTTGCTAGCCTCATGCCCAACCTTTCCTCTTCACCAGCTTTATTTCTGGCTTAGCGAGGTAAGGGAGGAGTGTGTCAGTGGCCGGGGATCGAACCCCGGACCATGTGCATTGTTGGTGAGCGTCCTAACCGCTATGCCACCGATGCGATATCAATTATCTGGTAATCATGAAACTAATAAATACATAAAATTCCTCTTTTGAATCTTTGCAGAATATAGAAAAACTCCCTATTTAGACATTTAGAAAACAGAAAGATTGAATGAAGAAATATTTACTTTTCAATTAGATGGTCATCTCTGGCTCTACTCTAATATATGTAGCATTTTTATTACAATACACAACATTTGTTTGTTAACAATAATTAGTCGGTGTCAAAATGTCAATGGGGTGTTAAGCCAATGAAAAGGTAGAAATGGTTATTCAACGAAGAGACTCTTTTCAACGAATTTATTATCAAGCTGTACAATCGTTTATATATGGTTTTTTTAAAAAAATTATATCCGGTGAGGGAATTAGGTCAAAGGTGTGAATACATGAAATAATAATAGTAGTATGAAATACAATTAAAATATTTGTGATTCTAATCATGGTTTTAATGTCAGGTGGCAAAATAATTTATGTCATATATAGAGTGATATGTAAGGTGTATAGATTTTGGAAAGAGGTACATAATTATAAGATTAGTAGACGAATATAAAATGTTACATAACATGGTGGGAAATGTGATAAGATAGAATTCAATATTGTAAAAATAAAAATATAAAAATTAATAATTTTGAATTTAGAATGAGAAGTGGATCAAGTTAAAAAGATTCAGAGTGAGAATAGTAATAATAATAATAATCGTAGTGATAAAGGAAAAATACATAGAATAACTAAATAAACAAAATAAATAAATATCTATTCCTCTACGGCCAAGGCAGAAGTATGGATTGTACGTACTTTTTGTGTGCACAAAGATCTGGCTTAAAGTCATGAGTTGCCAAGGCCTCAGCTGTCTTTATAAGTCTGCAACGAAGAAAACGCGGGAAGTTAGCATGGATTCTATTTGTGATCTTGAAATCATGGTCAGGGTTGACCGAGTGACAGAAGTCGATCAGATGTTCCAGAAGTGAGCTTCGCACACACTTCCTTTACGGCTTGTAAAGCCAAGCTGGAATATGTTCTCGTATCGGTGTGGAAAGCGTCCTCTGACTACTGCCAATTTACCTTGCTCCATAAGAGCAGGTGAACTGACAGATGCACATGGAGGCTTATCTTTTACAGAGGTAGAGAACAATTTGCGGCTAGTGAACGTCATATGTAATTTTGCTGCAAAGAACATCTTACTGACTGATTTAGACAGACGATTTTTGAGCATATCTGAATCTTGATCACCTTTGAATTCCAAGTTCATGAATAAGATTTTCTTTGGAACTGAGTCGGTGACCAGTTTAGAATGCTTGTCTTTAATGTTATTGTGAATAAATCTGTTAGGGTAACCATTTTCTGCGAGTCTGGATTTTAAGAACTCAAGTTCTGAGTCAATGCAATCAGAACTACAAATTTTCCTCATCCTAAGGCAGAGCGAATGAATAAGGTTCCTTTTCCTGAAAATAGGCACCCAACTGTAAAAATTAGTTAGTTGTCCGTTCCATGTACGTTTCCGGTGGATAGATCTTCTGAGAGATCCGTCATTACGTCTTCTAAGGCACACATCAAGAAACGGAATACTTAGTTCGGATTCCTTTTCTATGGTGAATTGTAAAGAAGGATGGCAGTTGTTGAAAGCAAACAAGACATCATCAAGAATTACGTTATAATCGCAGATGACGAAAGTGTCGTCTATGTATCTTTTATAAATGTCAAAATGACCGATGGTTTGACTAAGTTGAGAATTTTCAAGCTTTGCCATAAAACAATCAGCCTACAGGGAAGACCCAGTGGTGAACCCGTAGTAATGCCATCTCTATGTCTAAAGATCTCATTACTGAAGGTGAACTGAACATTCAACTTGCATCTCAATAAAAGCTCTTTGAGGTGGATTGTCGGCAAACCTATTTCTAAACTATGTGTATCACACAAGTGGCAAACAGTTTCCATGAGATGAGCATTGGTAAATAGCAACGTCACATCTAATGAGAACAGGTTTTTGTCTGAGACGTTAAAATCTTTAATACTATCAATTAATTTAAACGTATCATCAATGGAAAACTTAGATACTTGCCTTCTAACTGGTTCCAGTATTACGGTGATTCCGTGATAAGGACCTAATTGACCTAATTTCCTCACAGGATATAATTTTTAAAAAAAACCATATATATATATACGATTGTACAGCTTGATGATAAATTCGTTGAAAAGAGTCTCTTCGCTGAATATTATGTTCTTAATGCTACAATGGGAATTATTAAATTATTGAAGAAATGGTTACAACAAGCGGATTGTATAATGCATAATATTGGAAAAATGAAGAGTAATTAAGTAATAAGCGTGTGCACAGGTTGATTGCGTAACAGATTGTTAAAGAAAATAAAACGATTTGGACAACGATAATTTGTAACTAAGGCTGAAGTGGTGAAAAGAATAAAATAATTTTACAAGGATAACACGTAACTGAAGGTGAAGTTGTCAGAAAAGACAAAATAATCTGGACAATTATAGTTTTTAAAGGTTTAGGGGGAGGGGACAAATTTGTCCGGTTTATACATTAATGTCACAATGGTCAAGTTAAGGAAAGTGGCTGTACAAATTTTTTTGAACACACAGGTTTGGCTTCTTCGGGGGAAGCAATAGGAATCCACCTGAAGAATGAGGAAAAGTAAATATTTCTTCGCTCAAGTTTCGCAGAATAGCTAATATGAACGTTTGTCTTTTGAAAGTTTAACTTTCGAGTAAATATTTTGTTATGAAGTGTAAACACTACTTTCATACTCAGTTTGACCTTCAAACGAAAACACTTTCACAACACTGGGAGATACCAACCAATTACCTGATGGTAACTAAGGTAGCCGCTTAATTCTAAGTATTCAGACATCCGAAGTGTGTGAACTTTAATTCATTAAGGACTTCAGTTCACAAGTGAAGAATCTCGACATGAGTAGCATGGTTGTAAAATCTCCGATACTCATATGGAACTTACGGACAACATGAAATCCCTCAAACTTGTAATGCACCCTATTGGTATGCACCGACTTGTTGCATCTATAACATCATTTCAATAAAAACAAGCTAACGGATATACAGATACGATAATGATTTCCTTATCTGGAAATCCTAATGTCTATTTCTTTAAATGTATAATGACTTTACTAACTTTCTTGCACTAAGAAAAGAAATGAAGTTTTGGATTATTTTAGAATTTACCCAAAAATTATTCCTTTTCACATTTGAAGGTAAACACCAAATTTGATCTGAGTAAGTTTAAAGTATATTTCGATCCGATATAAAGCTCTATATGTACGTATCGTTAAGAGTTTTTAAAGTGTTCACATGATACTTGTTAGGTATACTTAAATAATCTATCGATCTACTCACCAAGATATAATCCACCCTAAAAAGGCAATAAATCAGCTATATCAGTTGGAACTTGAAGTAGCCACTAAATGATTTCAACGCGGATCGCATACACGCACATACACACCAATGAAGATGATGTAAGTAAAGTTCTAGAAAAAAAAGGTAATATTGATATCAACTTTAACTAGTAGATATTAACAATAAAACTATGTGCAATCTCTATAACCTTTGATCTCTCTGTAATATGGTGATATTTGTGAATTAGATCAGTAAGCACCTTATTTTAAAATCACACAATCTGAAGTGATGAACTATAATCATAGTACTCAGCAAAATATTTTTTTAAGAGCAATAAAATATTATATTTCATAATAGAATATATATATATATATATATGATGAGTTGTATGTCACATAAGTAAACTGAGAAATTATACAAGATGTTATTTATTCTAACATCACTCATTTGTTTATATTTTAAAATTGGTTACTTTCTCATTTTTATCTGTGAATTCATTTCACTGAAAGTGGCAAGACTGAAATCAACACTATTAAGTCCATTTAACCCGTCAAATGGAAATAGTTCAACTCAACCCATTGACATAATTAATGCTAGAGGACTAAATAAGTGTGAATTGCGTTTGGAATATGCAATCAGTTTGCTAAAAACTACTAATGAAGAGAATGTAAACACAGCTATGGAAATAATATTATGTAAGTGACTTTCGTTACTATCCTACACTTACATTTAATTTATTAATTTTGTAGATATTTTAAGAAACAACCAGTTAACTAGATTACAATCGGAATGTTTATATTATCTGGCTATTTCTTGCGCAAAACTAGGTGTAATGAGTTTCGATTTGCTTTCATAGTGATTTCCTCTCTTTATAGGATTATGCTAAGGCTATGATGTATTGTCAACACTTGCTAACATTTTACCCGAATTGTGACAGGTCGAACAGTCTGCTAGCGAAGATTCAGTTACGTGCTTTACAAGGTATGTCTCTTTTATGCCATATTATATATATATATATATATATATATATATATGGTTACCGTTGTTAGAGAATTCAGTGATTCTTCAGAAAGTGATTCACACATCTACAAGTCGTTGTCCTGCAGTCACTTAAATTAAAATTATGCGGTTAAATTGTATGGATAGAACTGATCATAAGTCATTATGTTGAACATAAGCTAACACAAACTAGATTAAAGCTTTTCAAATGTTGCGTTTTTGATGGGGCTCATTTATTTTGAAAGTAGATTTCATCACAAATCGAAATATTTTGAAAACCATTCAGTAGCAAGAAGCAGCGGATTTCTGTCTCTAACTCCTCTGACACCTCATAGTGAATAATCACTGCCAGAAGTTGTAGGAAAGACTACCTCATTAACAAATGAACATATTAGTATCCTTGGAATCGATGTTGACCTTTTACAGCTCTTAGTGTAGGAAATTGATGAACGATTGTGACTGAGAATCTTAACACACCATTTAAAAGGATAGAAACTCTCTGATGACGCTGGTAGCATTATATGGCTAATTTGTGAGAACTCAGGAATCGTCGATAACCGTATTTCACTCCAGTGGTCTAATGGTATCAGACTACATTTATAACCTTAATAACCTGGATCCTGTTCATGATGTGATTGTTGACGCGGAGAAGCTTTATACGGGAATGATACAAAAGTCCAGTGTTCTATTATTTTTCTATTGATCATAATATCCGACCCTGTAACACAGTGAAATCCCCCTCGAAAGATTCGAACTTTTTCTGTTTATTAGTTTTCAATCAATTTATGATAGTCTTATTTAAGAATATCTGTTATCACGGCTTATTTTACGGTTAAAAATATTCCACCAAAATTCCTTGAAAGATTCATTTGGTAAACAAGAACTAAGGATAAGTTGCACGTCTTACCTCTTGAACAATTTTGTGGTTAAACAGAGGACCAAAAACTATGGGCAAAATTATATTCTTACATAAAGAAACAAATGATAATTTAATAATGATAATAGTAATTTAAATAATTTCCCCGTCACTCGTTGGCATTATGTATACGTAAATGTATAACGTTTTTATATACTGAAATAACTTCATGGAAATATATATATAGAAAGTGTATGAATGCAAATAGACACTGCCGCTTGCCCGTTATTAAGAATTAGTGTTTCCAGTAGGCAAACAAGTCGCTACAGATATCAAAATGCTTAGCAGCTTACGACCATGCTATCGAAAAGCTGTTTAACTAATTATCTATGACTTAATTTATGCTTCTTGTCTGGGTAAATACCCTGATTATAACACTAAGGTTTTAACCAACAGGCTGTTTATGTTTAATACAAATAGTTTTCTTTTAAATGATATTTTCTAACAGTTTGTTTAGTACTACGACTCATTTTAATTTTATCTGTAGTCATCACTTACCCTTGCCCAAAGATAACCCAAATAATATCGTAAATTCTGTTTATGCCATATATATATATATATATATATATATATATATATATATATATTATAGGATTAGCAGGTAAATCGAATAAAATGAAAACGTTACGTAATATTGTGTGAAATTTGATAGATATAGAACTTAACTTTGCAAAACAAAAAACTGATTTAGAATGAAAAGTGGAACAAGTGAAATAAGACCGGGGACAGTTCAAAGTGAAAATAGTAAAAGTAACAATTGGAGTAATAGAGGAAGAGTACACAAACTGAATAGACAAAATGAAAAAATTGGTAGAGCCAAAATATGATTAGGGATTACCATACTTTGGCATAGAGGGAGGGAATAAGACCATGAAAGTTGGAGGGGTTGAACGAACTTTTTTTGTACACAGAGATCTGGCTTTTCTGTTTCGATAACCAAAGCCTCAGCAATACAGATGAGTCGGGAAAATAGTGATTTCAGTAAATTACTTTTGGCCTTGTAGATGATTTTAAAGGGTCCAAGAACGCTATACTGCATGGTTACGAAGAGGTGGAAGTGGAGCAATAAGAAATGTGATCACTGAACATCTGGTCGATAATGATTACCCTATCTCCATAGCCTCCCCCTTTAAAGTCATCTACAAGGCCAAAAGTAATTTACTGAAATCACTATTTTCCCGACTCATCTGTATTGCTGAGGCTTTGGTTATCGAAACAGAAAAGCCAGATCTCTGTGTACAAAAAAAGTTCGTTCAACCCCTCCAACTTTCATGGTCTTATTCCCTCCCTCTATGCCAAAGTATGGTAATCCCTAATCATATTTTGGCTCTACCAATTTTTTCATTTTGTCTATTCAGTTTGTGTACTCTTCCTCTATTACTCCAATTGTTACTTTTACTATTTTCACTTTGAACTGTCCCCGGTCTTATTTCACTTGTTCCACTTTTCATTCTAAATCAGTTTTTTGTTTTGCAAAGTTAAGTTCTATATCTATCAAATTTCACACAATATTACGTAACGTTTTCATTTTATTCGATTTGCCTACTAATCCTATAATTGCACATCCCTTCCAAGTTCTATGTACATATGCATTTATTGATATACTCGTGCATCATATTTATGTATTATGGTGAACTAAAATAGGCCTTTGAAAAATAAGCTGAATAGTTAATATGAGGTATGTCTTGAGTCAATGAAAAAATGTAAACCGGTAAGATCTTTTTATAAGGAATAAAAATTTAACAACTATGTTGCATACTGAAATAAATGTTGTTTTGTTTCATTGAGGTTAAATGCACGTGGGAATTTATCCTTCAGTACATCTGTTTTATTTAAATAATCGAAAAGATACACATTCATTAACATTGGTGTTTAATAGACTTGAGTAGTTTTCTGTAAGAATACTTCAAATAAAGAATGAAAGTATAAGGCAGTGGACTGACAGTCTCGTTTCAGAAAAATAACTCAGTAAGTTGCAATCTTATATCACGTCACGCTTTCATAATGTCTTCTAAAAGCCAGTTTCATATTGTTGAAGAACTTCATAACAATAAACGGCTGTCATAGGTACTTCACCGATTTAAACAATAATGTTGATAGTCAAGTGTCGGTTTGCACGGATTTGGTTGGTTACACGATTTCACCATGACCAGTAGGGTGCAGCAGGTCGGGTATGAGGACAAATACTCGCCGAAGACATTAGCTAGGGGTCACGCTATGTCATGAATTGGCAGAAGTTAGAATTAATGGGCCATTGGATCGGGTCCCAGTGGCTTAATGGTATACGAGCTCGCCTTGTAACCAGAAGGTCCTGGGTTCGAATACAATTGGGTGCGTACTGATGAAGAGTCCCAGAGTAGGATGAGATAGCTGTCCAGTATTCTCAGGTTTCCTAAATGGTTCTCTAACCAATGTCAACTCATGATGAAATTACGTAATTTTGATAGTCACTTGACGAATCAGTAGTTTAGAAAAGACACAATTTGCAAAACCTTTGACAACTGTTCGTTGTTGAACAACATTCTGAAGACATCAGTCAGAGACAACTGAACATGTAATGTCAAGCACTACAGAGACAGTTGTTCGCTTCCCTGTTAGCATAGTTGATAGTAACTTCAAGACATACAATACTACATCTATGAATCGGTAGGCGATTTGCATTTAAAGACATCCTGGTGTCGAAAATACTTATTAACGTATATCTCATTTATTTGTGTAATTGATTCTATATCTATGATTTCATTTTCTCAGATGCACAAGACGATTCAACCATAATGAAGTGTCCTAAATCCAACTGAGAATTCTTCCATGAAAATATTTATAAAACCAAAACGACATGCAGTATTATTAATGTTTCTACTCATACTAATAAAAATTCAGATTTCAAGTTGTATTAGATGTCAACAATACTTCACCTCTGTTCATTTCAAAAAACCAACGACTCACTTAAACAAAACCATTATCACCTTATTTGAAATACCAATCCTTCATAACACTGCAATGATTTTTTATTTTAGAAACTAACTGTTTCCAAACTACATGAATTTTAAAGATTTATGAAAATATAAGAGATAATTTAAAGTGGGATAATGAAAACTTGAAGATATAGTTACAAATTATTGAATGTGTTATAAAGGATTCTTTTTTACTCGATGATCTTTTCACCTCATAACAAATAATAATTAAATAATTTTGTCTCTCAAGTACAAATAATCTGTGAAGCTATAGATAGCTGGACTGAAGAAGAGGTTCTACAACTGATCTTGCAAATGTTCACAAATAGCTTGAAGGACCCTATCAGAATCAAACTTCCAATCACTACAGCTCTATGATTAGCTTACCAATTCGCCATCCTGTCATTTGTTAGATGGGGCTGATTATTTCTTTTCACTGTCTACATTTCCTTCCAGCTAACAATGAGTCATAATGACAAATTTCGTACCATTGTTTTAGTCGACATCTAACATAACAAGAAATTATAAGTGCTGTCCAACAACCTTGAATCATCAGTCGTGAGCCATAATTGTAACAGGCAAACCAGCAAGCACACAAGTAATGAAAGCAGAACACGAACTGTTTATTCCACCAAATCGACTTTTAAAAAGTGCAGGGGTACAATTTTAGGATAAAACAGTTTTACTGGGCTTCATTAATGTTTAGGCTCTGCAACTCTTGTATCTCCTGGTCCAGGCAGTTGACTCCCGGGTGTCTTCCTGCTAGTAGAGAAAATAAAACATTGATTAGTGTTATAATATGGGTTTTGTTTCTCTTACATAACTATAAACGAATAACAATAAACATTCAACCAAATACTGGTTAACTACCTATCTCTGTGTATGTGTGTAGATATTACCCGATAAAACACAAGTTGTCATCTAGAAAGTAAAATTATGTCAATTAAAATAAAGGATTTCATTCGAACATTGGACTCTTAAACTAATTCACTATGAATGTGTCCTTACGCTGTCTTTGAGATAAGAATTATTCCAGGATAAGTATTGTCTCGATAGCGAACTCTGTAGTTGAAGCAAACCGTAACTCAAATTTGAACAAATTGTGAATACAAGTGTCAGTGTCTGGCCATAACCAGATACAGAAGAATACGTGTAAAAGTATAAATAGAAACGACATAGTCATGAGATCCGTAAGAAATGCAGTCAAGAACTAAGTAAAATACAATAATAATATATTCCATTTTTGTATATGAGGGACGCCAGTTTACAGGCGCGCTGTTCGAAAGGGAGTGCTTTTTTCACGTATTTCACGTTTTTGACAAATCGCTGCTTTGTTGTGTTATTCACTTCAAGAACATTTAAAAAAAACTTTAACTTGACTTTTATCTGTTAAGTTTTGATTTTAACCACTTATATAGTCTATATTGCGTAAATTGTCTTGGCTGTTTCCAGTAGAAGTTCATTATGTCAAAAGTACCACATAAATGTAATAGGGCGGAGTGTTACTTTTTGGTAGATGATGGAATACAGTGTAATAACTGTGAAAAGTGGTATCATAAGATGTGTACTGGATTACGTCCAGCTGCATACAAACGTTGTACTGCTCCAACATCCCACTGGATGTGCAGAATGTGTTGCTCCCCAAAGATGACCTTAATAAGGGCGGCTCACGAACTGCTGTCTAAAGAAAAAAAAAAAAAAAAAAAAAAAAAAAAAAAAAAAAAAAAAAAAAAAAGCCCGTCTGAAGATGAAGCAGTAAGTGCCATCATGAATGTTATCACACCGGCGGTTACTATCCCAGTTACCCCGGAAGTAAAACCTACTAGGCGTTCGAAGCGTCTTAGTAAGCGAAAAGGTAACAAAACGGAAGCTGTAAACAGCATCTCAGAACCAGAGAACACCGTAAGCGAAGTTCACCATGAAGGTGGTGCAGACACTGATCTTGATTGTACCATCAAAAACTGCAGCAGCCCTGAGAAGCAACTGCAGGCAGATGATAAATGGGTAACAAAAATAAGCAGTCGGAAGAAATATAGTAATATTGATGGTAGGCAAACGTCTGTCACCTGTAGCCAGGCTGCATCAATAGTGGTGAGAAAGGACGTAGCCACTGCTAAATACGACAAGCTCTCCTTAGACTCTAACATAATTGTTGGAAATTTGGAAGAGTCCAAAGAATCTGATCCCGTGAAAAGGCACGATCACGACCTTAAATTAGTGAGTAGTATTATAAGGAAGATGCTCCCAGCGAATTTCCCTGGAGTATCGATTAAAAAGCTGATTAGAATAGGCAAAAGAGATGATGAATGTTCTAGTCAGCGTAGGTTGCTTAAAGTAGTCTTAGGTTCTCCTGATGAACGGAATCATCTACTGGCTAATGTACACAACCTTGCCGGGTCAGGAATTTCAGCCAGACCTGATTTATCTCTTGAAGACAGACTTAAACGAAAAGAAGTTTTGTCCCAGCTAGAAACAAGACGCAAAAATGGTGAGACTAACCTTAAACTGGTGGGTTTTCAAATAGTCAGGTCTTGGAAACGTATGCTTCCAAGACCTGTGTGGATAAGCCAGACCGCATAGGAAGCCTGAAGGTAGTGTACACTAATATACGTAGTATCGGGAACAAATTTCACGAGCTAGGTGTATTAGTAGAAGACCTTAGCCCAGGTATTGTGGCCATTACTGAAACATGGCTGGTTTCGGGATTAGATGACACACCTGAGCTATGCGGATTTAGTTGCTTGCGCAGCGACAGAGTTAAGGGTCGTAGAGGTGGCGGGGTTGCTCTGTACATCAACAACTCCCTACATGTTCGTTCCGTGAAATCTGAAGCTCATGACAGTGGGACAGGTGAGGTAATTAGCTGTGAAGTAAGCTTTGCAACCGGCACTCTACTCATTGGAGTTCTGTATAGAAGTCCCTATTGTCAGTGTGATGACTTCATTTTAGATCACCTCAAACAATGGAGTAAACACAGTAGCTGTCTTATTCTAGGTGATTTTAATGCACCTCATATAGACTGGGTAGCTGTCACATCTCCAGGATCCGCTGATAAGTTTGACAGCCGGTTACTCTTGACAACCATGGAAAATGCCCTGACACAACATGTCTTAGGTAGTACAAGATTCGGTTCTACCCAAGGATCTTCCTTGCTGGACTTAGTGCTTACTCATGACAACGACGACGTGGATGGTCTAGTTATTCATCCACCTCTAGCAAACAGTGATCATGGGGTGTTAGATTTTAACTTAAGGGCTGGCAATTTAGTCAGTTTTCAACCCAAATCCCGGCCTAGTGTTTGGCATGCTGACATAGTGGCTATAAAGGAGCGTGCTTCAACTGCCGACTGGTCAGTCAACATTGTCTCATCCATTGAAGATGAATGGGATAGATTTAAGAATACACTTGAGAGGGTTACCACTGATCTCATCCCCTGGAGGGTTCCTAAAAGGCCAACAAATCGGCCACCATGGATAAATAGACAAGCTATAACACTCCTGAGACGGAGAAAAAGGTTCTGGAATCTCTTTGTTTCTACTGGGCTACAGCAGTTCCGGCTGAAATACTGTGAAACCAGAAACCAGTGTAAAACTTTGATCCACCAGTCAAGGATAGCTTACGAAACCCAGTTAGTTAAAAGTTCACCAGGCTGCCCAAAAAGACTCTTCTCATATATCAAGAGAAGAACACGTAAGAGTGATGCTATCCCACCTCTTATGCTTGAAGATGACCAGACAAACATGGCTGAGGATAACTTGACTAAGGCTGAGGCTTTGTCCAAGCACTTTAGTCAAGTATTCTCTGATAATATTGATACCAGCTTTGTAAATTTTCCAGAAGGTAACTTGAAAATGGCACCCTTATACATTGGAAAGGATACTGTCCTAAAGTGGCTTCTAAGGCTCAATCCTGGTAAGTCCAGTGGCCCTGATGAACTCCACCCACGTATATTAACAGCATTGGCTGAAAGCATAGCCGAGCCATTGTCGGTAATCTTCAATATGTCTCTGGACCAGTCTAAATGTCCAAGAGACTGGAAAGATGCCATCATTAGTCCGGTCTTCAAAACCGGATCTAGAAACTTAGTTCAGAACTATCGTCCTGTTAGTTTGACCAGTATTGTTGTTAAACTACTAGAAAGAATAATTCGTGATGCTATCATTCAGTTCATTGAAGGGAACAAACTTTTCGCTGTGGAACAGCACGGTTTTAGAGCAGGTCATTCTTGCTTGACCAACCTTCTTTTGGCCAGAGAAAGTTGGGCAAGCTCAGCTGATGCTAATATACCGGTGGATGCCATATTCATAGACCTTAGCAAGGCGTTTGACAGGGTTTCTCATTCAGGTCTTCTAGTAAAGTTAGGTAGTCTGGGAATCAATAAAGTGGTTACCGACTGGATTCAAGACTTTCTAAAGGACAGAAGACAAAGAGTACGAGTTAACGGGGTTTTATCAACATGGGAATCGGTTAAGAGTGGCGTTCCTCAGGGTACAATTCTAGGCCCACTTCTTTTCCTGATTTATGTTAATGAGATTCCATCGGTAGTTAAGTCATCCTGCTTACTGTTTGCTGATGACATCAAGATATGGAGGGCTTTGCACGATGACAGTGATCAACTTGCTTTGCAGGAAGATTTAAACTTGTTAAGTGATTGGTGTAAGCACTGGGCCTTGGAGATTAACTTAAGCAAGAGTGTAGTTATGCATGTATCCCATAGTCACGTGCACAATTACTCAATGAATGGCATTACTCTCCCAGTGGTCACTGAGTACAAGGACTTGGGAGTGGTTGTGCAGCATGACTTGAAAACAGCAACAAACTGTAGAACTGCAGCCACTAAGGGT